AGATCCTAGATCATTGTATGCTGATGGTGTACTGCTAACTAATGTGGAGACATATCTGGAAACTGATCCTAGGCTAAAAATCAGAACATTAATAAGAACTAAAAAGCAGACGAGTTAAAATTAGCATATTAAATCTATAAAATCAAAGTAATTGATATTATTTTCAAAATAATGCAGAACCACTTTGAGCCTTTTTAAAAATTAACCTTTAAAACTATCTTTCATAATCCCTGTGAGTAAATGCTTTGCCATCTCATAGATGAAAAGGTCTAAAATTCAGTTCCTGACCTGTGCCATGTTAGTTGATCTCAAATAGAGCAACAGAAGAGTTGGTACAAATGACTTCACATCCCTTCTCATGTAGGGAGGAAAACGAATCTTGTTGAATCCTGCAAAGAGAATGTGTTGGATCTGATGTTGATGTCACTACTCAACAATGGGTGGACTGAGGTGGATGGAGAGCGGAAAATGATAAAATGCACAAAATCTGGTTCCAACATGCTTATGTGAGGGTGTTTTGCTGTGTGTGAATACACCTGCTTGCCAGAGGAGACATCATACCTTATCTCAAGCAAGTGCGTACGTGGGGTTGATCAGTGTCATGGAGAGCTGATGAATATCATAAAATCATAAGTTTATAAGAAATAGAAGTAGGACTAGGTTATTTGCTCATTGCCTTTTGATAGATCAGGCTGATCTGATTACACCCTTAACTCCATTTTCCTGCCTGTCTCCCGTAACCTTTGACACCATTGTCAATCAGAGCCTGTCTAACTCAGCTTTGAATATAGTCAATGATCCAGGCTCCACTGCTGTCCCTGAAAGAGAATTTCAGCACCCTAATGATCCTATGAGAGAAGAAATTCTATTTATGTCTTATCTTAAACACATATTTTTAAATTGTGATCTTGTTTCTAGGCTCCCCCATGAGGGGAAATATTCAGCATCAAGCTGGTGATGCCCCGTAAAAATTATGTATGGTTTAGCAATTCTTCTGCTCTCTAATGAGTTTAATCCCAACCTACTCAACCTTCCCTCATAAGGCAACCCCGTCATCTCACGAATCAGTCAAGTGAACCTTCACTGAAATTCTTCTAATGTAAATACATCCCTTCATAAGTAAGAAAATGGTGATAGGTGCAGTGCTGTGGTAATTGTGTCACAAGTAATCCAGAGGCCCAGGCTAGTGCTCTGGGGATACAGATTTAATTCTCACTGTAACAGCTAATGGAATTGAAATCTAGTCTCAGCAATGGTGACTTTGACGACTATCATCAATTGTTATAAAACCCCATCTGGTTCATTAATCTCCTATAAGGAAGGAACCATGTCATCCCTCTGTAGTCTGGTCTACGTGTGACTCCAGACCCACAGCCATGTGATTGACAACCAAGTGTCCTCTGAATTGACTCAGCATGCATCTCAGTTCCAGGGTAATTAAAAATGGACAGTAAATGCTTCCCTTGCCAGTGATGCCCACATCCCATTACAGTATCAAGAAAAACCTCCGAGCTGTTCTAAAACCAATATTTGCATCGCTGTTTAAATATAAAATATCATATCAATAGACTTGAAACTGAAGATTCTATATTACTATGTCTACTTTCATTTTGCGTGCACATAACTTTGCTGCTTCCTCCAAGTAGAAGCCTGCCATTGCTTCTATGTCAGAGGTTATGTGTAAGTAAATGGCCCTCCTGCTGGAATCAGTGCCTTTGGGAAGGGCTGGGGAGAGATGACTCCTGTGATGTCTCTCACTGTGACCCAGTAATGGTTAGGATGGTGGACATCTGGAAACAATTACGTGAGGATGTAGCATGGTAATGATATCAATTGACTAGTAATCCAGAAGATCAAGATAAAATTCTAAGAACAATGGTTTTAATCCCAGCAAGGCAAATAGTAAAATTTGAATTCAATAAATATTTGCTTGGACTGGAGGGCAGGTCTTGTGAGGAAAGGTTGAAGGAGCTAGGGCTTTTTTCATTGGAGCGAAGAAGGATGAGATGTGACTTGATAGAGGTGTACAAGATGATGAGAGGCATAAATAGAGTGGATACCCAGAGACTTTTTCCCAGGGCGGAAATGACTATTACGAGGGGGCATAATATTAAGGTGATTGGAACATAGAACATAGAACATAGAACATTACAGCGCAGTACAGGCCCTTCGGCCCTCGATGTTGCGCCGACCTGTGAAACCAATCTGAAGCCCATCTAACCTAAACTATTCCATTATCATCCATATGTTTATCCAATGACCATTTAAATGCCCTTAAAGTGGGCGAGTCTACTATTTTTGCAGGCAGGGCATTCCACGCCCTTACTACTCTCTGAGTAAAGAACCTACCTCTGACATCTGTCCTATATCTATCACCCCTCAATTTAAAGCTATGTCCCCTCGTGCTAGCCATCACCACCCGAGGAAAAAGGCTCCCACTGTCCACCCTATCTAATCCTCTGATGGTCTTGTATGTCTCTATCAAGTCACCTCTTAACCTTCTTCTCTCTAACGAAAACAGCCTCAAAACCCTCAGCCTTTCCTCATAAGACCTTCCCTCCATACCAGGCAACATCCTGGTAAATCTCCTCTGCACCCTTTCCAATGCTTCCACATCCTTCCTATAATGCGGTGACCAGAACTGTATGCAATACTCCAAGTGCGGCCGCACCAGAGTTTTGTACAGCTGCAACATGACCTCATGGCTCCCTCTACCAATAAAACCTAACATACTGTATGCCTTCTTAACAATGCTATCAACCTGGGTGGCAACTTTCAGTGATCTATGCACATGGACACCAAGATCTTTCTGCTCATCCACACTACCAAGAATCTTACCATTAGCCCAGTACTCTGTATTCCTGTTACTCCTTCCAAAGTGAATCACCTCACACTTTTCCGCATTAAACTCCATTTGCCACCTCTCAGCCCAGCTCTGCAGCTTATCTATGTCCCTCTGTAACCTGCAACATCCTTCTGCACTATCCACAACTCCACCAACTTTGGTGTCATCCGCAAATTTACTAACCCATCCTTCTACGCCCTCATCCAGGTCATTTATAAAAATGACAAACAGCAGTGGCCCCAAAACAGATCCTTGAGGTACACCACTAGTAACTGAACTCCAGGATGAACATTTCCCATCAACCACCACCCTCTGTCTTCTTACAGCTAGCCAATTTCTGATCCAAACCGCTAAATCACCCTCAATCCCATGCCTCCGTATTTTCTGCAATAGCCTACCATGGGGAACCTTATCAAACGCTTTACTGAAATCCAAATACACCACATCAACCGCTTTACCCTCATCTACCTGTTTGGTCACCTTCTCGAAGAACTCAATAAGGTTTGTGAGGCACGACCTACCTTTCACAAAACCGTGTTGACTATCCCTAATCAAATTATTCCTTTCTAGACTATCCCTAATCAAATTATTCCTTTCTAGAAGGAATAAGGTATAGGGGAGATGTCAGAGGTAGGTTCTTTACACAGAGAGTGGTAGGCCCGTGGAATGCGCTGCCGGCAGTGGTGATGGAGTCAGATACATTAGATACATTTAAGCGACTCTTTGATAGGCACATGGATGATAGTATAATGTAGGATATGCAGGGTAGTTTGATCTTAGTAGGATAATAGGTCGGCACAACATCATGGGCCAAAGAGCCTGTACTGTGCTTTACTGTTCTATGTTCCATCTGATTTACCCACTCTTGATTGTCGTAAAATCCCATCTATTTCATTATTGCCCTTCAGGGAAGGAAATCACTCGTCCTTTCCCGGTCTGGCCTACATGTTACTCCAGACCCATTGCAATGTGGTTACCCTCTGGCCAGTTAGGAATAGGCAATAGATGCTGGAGTGGCCAGCAACGTTCACATTCCATTAACAAATAGAAATAAGTCTTAGGGTGTTGAATGTTGTAACCCATTCACTGTTAGGACAACAAGAACTTGTATTTATTTAGCACGTTTAACATAATAAAACATTTCAAGAATCTTCACCAAGATATAGGAGCAGAATTAGATCATTCAGCCCATCAAGCTTGCTCTGCCATTCAATCATGGCTGATATATTTGTCAACTCCATTTGCCTGCCTTCTCCCTGTAACCCTTGATCTCCTTAATAAGTCAAAGTATAGCACTGAACAGTGTAAGGAGTCGATAGCTCAGATAAGCAAAAGTATTCTTGAAAGGGTGAGATTTCAGATGCAGAGGACTTTAGAGTTGGAATACCATGGTTTAAGTTTGAAACACGACTGTCAATAGTGGGCTGATGAAAAACAGGTATTCGCAAGAAGCCAGAAGTAGGGAAGTGCAGAAGTCTCAGAGGGGCTTGTGGAGAATATAAAGACAGGGAGGAGAATGGTCCTGGAAGGATTGGAAAAGAAATGATGATTTAACATCTAGTTGTTGCTTCACCAGGACCCAATATAGATCAGTAAGTACTATGTAACAGGGGAACAGGACTTGGTGAGAGATAAGATATGGGCAGCAGAGCATGAGATGACCCCTCACTTATATAGTGTGGAATATGAGAGACCAGCCAGGATGTTGGAATAGCCAAGTGTGGAAGTAATGAAGACATTTGTATGGGTTTCAGCAGAGGTGAGTTGAGATGGGAAAGTCAGGCAATGTTATGAGGGGTAAATAAATCAGAAGCTCTTCTCTACGTTAAAGCAAGGTGACAAATACACGGATATGATCAGAATATTGCCAGGGAGAGGGAGCAGTCGCTAGGAAGTGAAGTTTGGAGCGGGGACCAAAGCATTGGCTACTGTCTTCTCTATACAAAATGGGATGTGAACATCAATAACTAATCATTGTTAGAAGGGTGAACATTTATAGCTAAACACATTAGGATGGTAAGAATTCATAACTAATCACTGTTAGGTTGTTGATGATTGATGAAACCATTATTATCATCACTTGCAATGATAGCCAATCATTAGCCATGACAATCAAACAAAGAAATTAACTGTCTTCCCTGTTTGTCTCCTCCAGTCCACTACGAACATTCGAGCAAACTGTAATAAGATGATAATGATGTTCACAGACGGAGGAGAGGATCGAGCCCAGGATGTCTTTGAGAGACACAATTGGCCCAATAAAACAGTGAGTAGATATGTGTAATTGCCATCTCTGTTTTGCCATCACAACAGGCCGCCAGCAGTGTCAGCAGGGTGAGTGAGGTAGTGAACAAAGGTGTGAGCCCAGGGTAAGTGAGGTAGTGACCAGCAGTGCAAGACCAGTGTGAGTGAGGTAGTGAACAGCAGTGTGAGCCTAGTGTGTGAGGTAGTGAACAGCAGTGTGAGCCCAGTGTGCGAGGTAGTGAACAGCAGTGTGAGCCCAGTGTGAGTGAGGTAACGAACAGCAGTGTGAGCCCAGTGTGCGAGGTAGTGAACAGCAGTGTGAGCCCAGTGTGAGTGAGGTAGCGAACAGCAGTGTGAGCCCAGTGTGAGTGAAGTAGTGAACAGCGGTGTGAGACCTGAGTGTATGTGACGCGTGATGTTCATGGGCATGTCTGGTTAGCACTATGTAATTGCTAGGTATGTGGGACAAACCTGCCCATCCTATTTCACTTTATCCTCCTCAAATTGAGTGTTTTGCTGCATGATGGATTTGTAGCTTGTTGCTATGGTGACTATTTTAAAATGGTTTGGCCTGTGGGAAGGTTGTATTTCTGTCAATGGAGATTGGTGTGGAATATAACCTTGAAGAATATAAATTATTTTTGTTCCTCAATGGCCTCTGGACAGTCTCCCTCAGGCCAGTATTATATAACAATTTTCACAGGCTCTTGTGTCAGTTTGATGTTTGTGGTTTTACCTTGCAATGGTCATAGCTTTCTGGTTTATTCATGTGGAGGCAATGGTAGTGATCACCACTGATCATCCGTTTATAGCTAAAAGAATGACTTGCATTTAAAAAGCACTTTTCAGAATTTTAGAACATCCCACGGCGATTTGCAACCAATGAAGCACCTCTATCAGGGTTGCAATTAGAACTTCTCACTTCTGTTATCATTCTTGTAAATGTTTTGACACCTTTTCCATTACCTTGATTGCCAATCACTGCTCTGTCCAAAGGCAATGTGTGCAGTTATCCAACTGGGGTCAAACCAAGGTTCAATATAAATATAACATTACAGCTTGTGGTACAGTGGTAGAGTCCCTACCCCTGGACCAGGAGACACGAGTTCAAATTCCACCTGTTCCAGAGGTGTGGAATAACATATCTCTTCAGGTTGATTAGAAAAATATGAAAAATAGGTGTAATATTAAGCATTGATAGAAAGGAAGTGAGCAATTATGTGAACCTTCTGCAGATTAAAATTCCATAAACAGTGATCATTTCAGCCTGAAAGTTGAAGACTTCAGTCTGTATTTAAACTGAGTTTGAATGGTTGGTGTCTAGGACAATGATCAGATTACAGATAAATATGGAAAATGTAAACTTCTCTCCTATAATCATACTTATGGGAAAACTTCAGGTACATCATATTTCAATATATTTGAGTCTAAAAGCAACAGGAGGAAATGACTGGATAGTATTTAAGAAATATTGATAACTTCATAAATGTTCTGTTTAAAAGATGAGTCATATTAGAATCATTGAATGTTCCAAAACAAGTACAGGTCCTTCTACCTGTACAATGTTTTCTCCACATCCTAAATTACACCCTCCTGCACGTTGCCATTACACTTTAATATCCCACCAAGTCTAATCCCAACCTCCTACTCTCTCCACATAGCCTCAAACATCCCAACCAAATTAATAACATTCTGCTTCTCACTCCCAATATCTTCTCATAGTCCAAAAACAAACGATTGTAGATGCTGGAAATGTACAAATGGATCCAGAACTACTGAAAACACTTCTGAATTTTTTTAGAGACAACAAGGTGCAGGGCTGGATGAACACAGCAGGCCAAGCAGCATCATAGGAGCAGAGAGGCTGACGTTTCGGGCCTAGACCCTTCATCAGAAAAGGGGGAGGGGAAGGGGGTTCCGAAATAAATAGGGAGAGAGTGGGAGGCGGATAGAAGAGGGATAGAGGAGAGGATAGGTGGAGAGGAAACAAACAGGTCGAAGAGGCGGGGATGGAGCCAGTAAAGGTGAGTGTAGGTGGGGAGGTAGGGAGGGGATAGGTCAGTCCAGGGAGGACGGACAGGTCAAGGGGGCGGGATGAGGTTGATCGGTAGGAGATGGAGGTGCGGCTTGAGGTGGGAGGAGGGGATAGGTGGGAGGAAGAACAGGTTAGGGAGGCAGGGACGAGCTGGACTGGTTTTGGGATGCGGTAGGGGGAGGGGAGATTTTGAAACTTGTGAAATCCACATTGATACCATTGGGCTGCAGGGTTCCCAAGCGGAATATGAGTTGCTGTTCCTGCAACCTTCGGGTGGCATCGTTGTGGCACTGCAGGAGGCCCAGGATGGACATGTCGTCTGAGGAATGGGAGGGGGAGTTGAAATGGTTCGCGACTGGGAGGTGCAGTTGTTTGTTGCGAACCGAGCGTAGGTGTTCTGCAAAGCGGTCCCCGAGCCTCCGCTTGGTTTCTCCGATGTAGAGGAAGCCACACCGGGTACAGCGGATGCAGTGTACCACATTGGCAGATGTGCAGGTGAACATCTGCTGGATGTGGAAAGTCTTCTTGGGGCCTGGGATGGGGGTGAGGGAGGAGGTATGGGGGCAGGTGTAGCTGTGTTCATCCAGCCCTGCACCTTGTTGTCTCAGATTCTCCAGCATCTGCAGTTCCTACTATCTCTGAATTTTTTTCCCCATTTAGAAAATAGTCTATGCCTTCATTCTTCCTATCAAAGTGCATGACCTCACACAGTAGAAGGGGTGGATATAGTGGACCATGATTGGTACACTATATGGATGTATTCCATATGCCACTTCTTTGCCCAATTTCCTATGTTGTCTAAATCCTTCTGCAGCCTCCCCATCTCCTCAATGCTACTTGTCTCTCCACCTGTCTTTGTATCATCTGCAAGCTTAGCTAGAATGCCCTCAGTTCCTTCATCTAGATTATCAATGTATAAAGTGAAAAGTTGTGGTCCCAACACTGACCCTTGTGGAACACCACTTGTCACCAGCTGCCATCCTGAGAAAGACCCTTTTATCCTGACTCTCTGCTTTCTGCCAGACAGCCAATCTTCTTTCCATGTTAGCACCTTGCTTCTAACACCATGGGCCCTTATCTTACTCAGCAGCCTCTTGTGTGGCATGTTGTCGAAGGCCTTATGGAAGTCCAAGCATGTAACATCCATTGGCTCTCCTTGCTCTAACCTGCTTATTACCTCCTCAAAGAATTCTAACAGATTTGTCAGGCATGATCTCCTCGTGATGAAACCATAATGACTTTGCCCTATTTTACCATGCACTTCCAAATATTCAGAAATCTCATCCTTCACAAGGGACTCCAGAATCTTACCAACGGCCGAGGTTAGGCTAATCGGCCTGTAATTTCCCATCTTTTGCCTTACTTCCTTTTTAAATGGGTAGTTACAGTAGTGATTTTCCAGTCCTCTGGGACCCTCCCTGACTCCAGTGATTCCTGAAAGATCACCACTAACGCCTCCACTATCTCTTCAGTTATCTCCTTCAGAACTCTGGGATGTAGTCCGTCTGATCTAGGTGATTTATCCACCTTCAGACCTTTCAGTTTTTCTAGCACTTTGTCCTTGGTGATGGCCGCTATACTCACCTTTAGCACCCCCACACCCACCGACTCTCTTGAGGTACTGTAGGCTATCAGTAGCAGCTTTATTGTACTCCCAACACAATCTGCAACATCATGGTACGCTATATCCACCCCTTATACTGTTACTTTTAGACAGGGATCAACCCTGGTTCAAAGAAGAGTGCAGAAGGGCATGCCAGGAGCAGCACCAGGCATAACTAAGAATGAAGTGTCAACCCTGTGAAGCTATATAAATTCAGCACACTTGCATGCCAAGGAGCATAAGCAGCAAGTGATAGACAGAGCTAAGCGATCCAACAACCAACAAATCAGATCTAAGCTCTGCAGCCCTGCCACATCCAGTGATGGACAATTAAACAACTCACTGGAGGAGGGAGGAGGCTCCATAAATATTCCCATCCTCAATAATGGAAGAACTCAGCACATCAGTGTAAAAGATAAGGCTGAAGCATTTGCAACAGTCTTCAGCCACAAGTGCCAAGTGGATGATCCATGTTCACCCTATCCCGAAGTCCCCAGCAGTAGCAGTCTTCAGTCATTTCGATTCACTGCGCATGATATCAAGTTGCAATCATAGTATCACAGTTGCAAGTATTGGATACTTCAAAGGCTATGGACCCTGACAACATTCCGCAATAGTACTGAAAATTTGTGCTCCAGAAGTTGCTGCACCCCTAGCCAAGTTGTTTGAGTACAGCCATAATACTGGCATCTACTGGACAATGTGAAAATTGTCTAGGTATTTCCTGTATTCAAAAAGCAGAACAAATCTAACCTGGCCAGCTGCTAACTTCATCAATCTACTCTTGATCATCAATAAAGTGATAGATGATGTCATCAACAGTACTATTAAGCAGCACCTGCTTAGCAATAACCTGCTCAGTGACGCCCAGTTTGGGTTCCGCCAGACCACTCGGCTCCTGACCTCATTACAATTTTGATTCAGACATGGACAGAAAAGCTTAATTCCAGAGGTGAGGTGAAATTAACATCAAGGAGCCCTAGCAAAACTGGAATCAGTTGGTATCAGGGGAAGACTCTCTGTTGGTTGGAGTCATACCTGGCATGTAGGAAGATGGGTGGGATTGTTGGAGGTCAGTCATGTAAGGTCCAGGACATCTCTGCAGGAATTTATCAAGATAGTGTCCTAGGTCCAACCGTCTTCAGCTGTTTCATTAATGACCTTTCCTCCATCATAAGGTCAAAAGTGGGGGTGTTTGCTGATGTTTGCACAATATTCAGCATCATTCACAACTCCTCAGAATCTGAAGTCAGTGTTCCAAAGCAGCAAGACCTGGACAATATCCAGGTTTGGGCTGACAAGTGGAAAGTGACATTTGCATCACAGGTGCCAGGCAATGATCATTGTCAATAAGAGAGAATCTAACCATTGCCCTATGACATTC